AGCAGGAATACTGCTGGTTTTATCCCCTATGACCCTCTGTGCACAGGCAACATTTCCTCCCCAAAGCCCAAGTGGTTCCCACACTCCATGAAATACCACTGCCATAATCATGTTTCCAACTTAAAGCTGGACACGTCTGAGTGGTAAGGAATGCAGAAAGGCCCACAAGACATTGACACCCATTTGTAGGAACCACTGCAGTAGCAGCATTAGTCATGAGAGCCCAGTGCTTTTCTTGGCCCAGACTGCCCATAAATGAAGACACCTGGGAGCGCACCAGGTATGCAATATTAACACTGCATTCCACCCCCTGGGGCTATTTTCTTTATCAAGGCTCAAAATACCAAGCTACATTTGGGACAATTTAGATTTGTTTTACATACACTCCCTCTTTCTAGAAGAAGCTGGCACTTGCTCAGGCAGTCTGGACTGTTGGTGAACTCCACCAAGGCTTTCTCTGCCTGGAGCCGTGTCGCAGTGTCTGTGGTCTCATACAGCTGCTTGCACAGGTTCTCTAGCTGGGCTAGGCTCTGGAAAACAGGGAAAAAAAGCAGTTAGGAACATGAGGGTTTACAGATTAGTTATGCAGTGGTTTGACCCAGGTTACATGTGCCTACACACACAGAGAAAGGTTTACTGCTTGTGCAAAGGAAGGAAAACACTGCCCCGTTTGGGGCTACAAATCCTCAAGTTCAGTTTGTTCTTCCATCAACCAAAATGTATTTAATCTCCCAGAAATTTCACAGCTACCTCTTACACTTGACAAAGGACCACGTTGCCTCCCCACTTTTACCATTTTTATAACCCAAACTCAGGCACCCATTCCCACGGTCCCAGCCTGAACACACCACAAGGCTGATGAGGTCTGGAAACATCTATTCCAGTTTGTCATGACAATAATCCCAGTTTGTCATGACAATAATCCCAACCTGCCCACTTTAAGAGTGAAAAACCATCCTCACATCCATGTTATTTTATGCCATACTGTGTCAAATTCCCCCCAAATTTGCTTTATATTGCTTTGCAGGGCACTGTGACAGACCTCAGCATCCCAGGAAGGATCTGACATTAAATCTTCTATACTACACATGCTAAAAATACCTCAAGCAAATGAGGAATGGGATGGATGTCTTGGAGTGTCTCTGTGAGCACATTTGAAGGGAAATAAAACTACCAGGCAGGTTCTGTGTGCTCAAACAACTGGAAAATGTTTGCCATAAACTGTGATCCAGGCAGATGGTTTCCCCCAGTGAAATCTTAGGTGTCCTAGTTAAAAAGTGACTTCACAGATGGATATAAATATTCCCTCAGCTTTTTACTACTAGATTAATAAGCAGGTATTTTCAACTGCTTTGGGGCTGCATAGTAGGTTTCCAGGGGTAAATCATGGCAAGCATAGCATAACTTTTGTGCTTTGCCTTGTGTGGTTGTAAAAGGGATAGCATCAGTCTGCTGCTTTATTTTTGGAGGAGATTTGATATGCAAAAGCTGAGTTTCTGACAGGGGCAGCCATGGGTTCACACACACCAGCTCCCAGCTGAACCCTCACAGCAATTTAACAACAGAAGCACACTCAAGTTATTGATGCTCTCTTAGAATCATGGAATGGTTTGGGTGGGAAGGGACCTGAAAGATCATCTAGATCCAACCCCTTGCATGGGCACCTCCCACCAGCCCAGGTTGCTCCAAGCCCCATCCAACCTGCCCTTCAACACTCTGGCCTCCCCATATGGCCATTATCACCCATAAACTGTTATAAACCAGGGTTAAGCAGTTCTCAATACCTCTCATCACAAATCCAGCTTCAGTTTATTAAAATCATAGAATGTTTAAGGTTAGAAGATCATCAGTTTCTAACCTCCCTGCTGATCAGTTGGCAAAGTTTCCATGCAGTAAAGTGCCTGCTTGTGTGTTATCACCTTCAGCCCCAGGAAGAAACACCAATTTCTCCAAAATCCTTGTGACCATTTATCAGTTTGAAAAGCCACCAGGACACTTTGCTCCATGTGTGTATGATGGGTCAAATCCCTGGGAAGTGGTTCAGCCTGGCAGGAGAGCCACCATCCCCAGCCCAAGAGTCCCACACTCAACCAAGGAACACAGATCCAGACATAGCATCAAATTTTACCAAAAAAGTACCTATTTTTAAGAGTTTACACCAGGATGGGGTTCCCCTACAATCACAGCTTTCTTCACACCTCCGAGAAACTCCAATTCCCAGTGAATTTTTGGGACTCGGTGGCAAGAACCACAGCTCCTTTTGTGAGCCACTGGCCAGGACAAAACCCCCTTGTTTGTGCACAGTGCTTGCTCCGTGCCAGCCTGCCTGCAGATTACAGGCAGTTAACTCCCTCAGAGCTGCAGGAAACACATGCCCTTCAGGACCCAAACAAAACAACTCCAAAAAACCAACAGAATAGCCCAGCCCAAAAGCTCCGGCACCAAAGGGCACTTTGTAGATGCCCCAGTACAAAGGTAGATGCCCCAGTAATGACACTGGTATTATTAAAGCTCAGTTTTCCTGTGAAAAAAATCACACAGGTGGAAAAGCTGGTCCAAATTATCCAGGAGTGTGAACAGAGAAAGTCAACAGGGAATCAAAGTGTACTCTGTTCACCTTGGATTAAGCATCAATGATGGATTTTAAACATATTATGTCTCTTCTCGCACAATGTCAGCTGTCCTGGCTAGACACCCCCAAATTAAACTTCATTTTATACTTCTCCCTTGGGATACCTTGATCATTTCTTCCTCATGGTATCCCTGCCACTTCTCCCTCAGGATATCCCAGACATGCAGCTGCAGAGGAGGCTGCAGGATGGGGGGCAGTTTAGGGCACAATTTGTACCAAAGCCCATGAGGATAGATCAGAGAGAAAAGCTCACACTCAGACTTGGGAATTTTCATCCATTATCTCAAGTTTGTGAATGGTAAGTTGGATTTTTTTACATTTCATGTGCTCAAATGTTGTGAAAAATTACTCATGATAAGCTGTGATCCAACTAAATTAGCTTATCTGATTAAAAACCCTTTAGGAGTAAAAAAGATCGGCACCAAAAGGGCACTTTGTAGATGCCCCAGACAAAGGTAGATGCCCCAGTAATGACACTGGTATTATTAAAGCTCAGTTTTCCTGTGAAAAAAATCACACAGGTGGAAAAGCTGGTCCAAATTATCCAGGAGTGTGAACAGAGAAAGTCAACAGGGAATCAAAGTGTACTCTGTTCACCTTGGATTAAGCATCAATGATGGATTTTAAACATATTATGTCTCTTCTCGCACAATGTCAGCTGTCCTGGCTAGACACCCCCAAATTAAACTTCATTTTATACTTCTCCCTTGGGATACCTTGATCATTTCTTCCTCATGGTATCCCTGCCACTTCTCCCTCAGGATATCCCAGACATGCAGCTGCAGAGGAGGCTGCAGGATGGGGGGCAGTTTAGGGCACAATTTGTACCAAAGCCCATGAGGATAGATCAGAGAGAAAAGCTCACACTCAGACTTGGGAATTTTCATCCATTATCTCAAGTTTGTGAATGGTAAGTTGGATTTTTTTACATTTCATGTGCTCAAATGTTGTGAAAAATTACTCATGATAAGCTGTGATCCAACTAAATTAGCTTATCTGATTAAAAACCCTTTAGGAGTAATTTTGAGGGTTGTCTCACCAATAAATATCGTCTCTCCTCTTGAGCTCTCTCCTGATCCCCTCTCACACTGACATGCAGAGCTGCCCTGACACTGTGTTCCAGGTTTGAAATGTGGCTTTTTCAGCATATTGCTATGAGAAGGGCAGTGGGATTCCCCTCCTCTCTGCTGAAGGGGTAGAAATGAAGCCAGGAATAAGGATTCCAGCACCCAGCTGGGAAAGTCAGAGCTGTCTGGGTGTAGGGCAGCAAGTTGGGGGGGGATAATTTTACGACAGAGCCTGGGCAATAGCTACTCTTGCAGCCAAGATGAAGAAAAAACCCAACATATAGAATCATGATTATGCAGGGCAAGAGTTCTGCATCCTCTAGATAAGGACTGAAGCATGAGACAGCAGAGTGTGTGGAACTGGGAGACACTGGGGCATCCTGCCATGGGTTCATGGGAAGAAAAACAGCCCTGAAGACAACGACAACTAACCTAAAGTTGTGCACTTTGAGAACAAACAGCTCCAAAAGCTCTCTGTAAGAAGCAAAAAACAGCCTTTTGCAGCAAGGGAAGGCAAGGGGGGGGGGGGGGAGGGGATCTGCAATGGTTGGGATGGGTTTGGGAAGAGAATGCTGAGTCACGGGAGCCAGCCCCAAGAGTCCAACACCTCCTCACACGGAGCTCCCAGCTTTCCCAGTCACTCTTCTCTGCTCCTTACACCATGGCACTGAAATCCCAGGATTCCTCTACAGCTGCACACAGCACATTCTAGTAAGATCCCAGTGCACCCAAACTACTTCATGCAGTAACAACCACCCCCCCTATTTTGGTCCAGCTCCTCCCAAAGGCTACATGCCAACCCCAAACACCAGTCATGGCTCAGCTGGGGCTATGGGTCTTAAATACATCCTGAAAAGCCTAAATTGCCACTGAATTTTTTCATGTAACCACCTCTGGACTCCAAGCTCAACATCCCTTCACTTTTCCTCCTAGGTGTTAACACATTTTTTTCCCCTCCAAAGCCAAGACCCTGTGCTTTTCCCTCCAATAAAGCATGGCAATTAAGGCCTACTGATGGAAACATGTCCTTCTAAATCCAGCTTCCAGGCATGTCATCCCAGTGTGGCCCAGCTTACCAGCCTTCAACAGCTTTTTTGCAAATAGAAGTTTGTGTTCCTCAGAAAAAAACCCCCACCAAACCACCTCACAATGCTGTATTTTGCCCATCTCCCCAAACTGAAGGTCAGTCCTACCAGGGGAACAATCCCCAAGCCAAGCTCTAGAGGGTAAGACTGATTCCAGAGCTTTTGCTTTGGATGTGGTCACAACATTTATTAACATGGGCAAGTTTATTTACAGAAACCAGCAAACTTGACAAATAATTAGCTAAACTTCCACTCCACTTCCTCCCTGACGGGGTGTGAGGGGATCTGCAATGGTTGGGATGGGTTTGGGAAGAGAATGCTGAGTCACGGGAGCCAGCCCCAAGAGTCCAACACCTCCTCACACGGAGCTCCCAGCTTTCCCAGTCACTCTTCTCTGCTCCTTACACCATGGCACTGAAATCCCAGGATTCCTCTACAGCTGCACACAGCACATTCTAGTAAGATCCCAGTGCACCCAAACTACTTCATGCAGTAACAACCACCTCCCCTATTTTGGTCCAGCTCCTCCCAAAGGCCAACCCCAAACACCAGTCATGGCTCAGCTGGGGCTATGGGTCTTAAATACATCCTGAAAAGCCTAAATTGCCACTGAATTTTTTCATGTAACCACCTCTGGACTCCAAGCTCAACATCCCTTCACTTTTCCTCCTAGGTGTTAACACATTTTTTTCCCCTCCAAAGCCAAGACCCTGTGCTTTTCCCTCCAATAAAGCATGGCAATTAAGGCCTAC